TCCGTGAAGCCCATTGGTGTCTACGCAGTCGTGAAAGGCCGACTCCACCTGAACTTGGCCAATGTTGGTAAGAATCCCAGTTACTGAGTCTGCGTCACCGTGTTTCCTGGTGAAAATTTGTTTCGTACCGAAAGTGAGTAACTCACGATTACTCATGTTTTCTTTAGCACTGGACACTTGGACACTTAACTCTGGGGCTGTGTCTACAATGGCATCCCTTTCCGGAAAAGGGATGCTAATGAGACACTTCGGAATTGCAAATCCGCGGGGGATTTAAATATCCCCCGCGGCATTTGCATTTACATGGCTGCCGCTTTTTTCCGGCTCGGGGTTTTTGCCGGAGAAAAGTGCCAGAGTAGACGCGATTTTCCGGAAAATAAGCCCTTTTCCGGAAGATCCCTTATCCCTTATCCCTTATCCCTTATTCCTACTTTTGTGCCTTTGCCTTTCTAATCTTGCCACTGCACATCTGTGTTGTTTATATTCATCCTTTGTAATTTGACTTAGTTTCCACTTTTTATATGACTCGCTTTTGAGTTTTAGATCATGCAAGATGTCTAGACTGGCGCTTTTCTCTGGCAAAAACCCCGAGCCGGAAAAAAGCGGCAGCCATGTAAATGCAAATGCTGCAGGGGATATTTAAATCCCCCGCGGATTTGCAATTCCGAAGTGTCTCCTTAGCATCCCTTTTCCGGAAAGGTATGCCAATGTAGACACAGCCTGGATGTTTAGCTGCATCCCTGCAGTTCTAGCATCATTCTAGGCATAGCCAGGAATCTCTTTGGCGGCTGCTTATCTCACCTCCCAAGAGAGAGCTACTTTTACCTGCACCAGGGTGCAATAATACAGTTAGTACTGGTGTAGTGCTTTCCAGCTGTAGCAAATCACCATGCAAAGGGAGGGAAACTATGCAGTTCCCACCAACAGTTTGGGCTACTAAGGTGCTGGGTTTTCAGAGGTGTCAAGTGATGATCTAGAGGACTTCCAGGTAACGAATGCGACCCACACACCTACTGGGTGTGGCTGAAACAAAATACAGGACTAGGTAGCACTTTAAAGACTAACAAGATGGTTTATTAGGTGATGAGCTTTTGTGGGCCAGACCCACTTCCTCAGATCGAGTAGTGGAAGAAAATTGTCACAACCATATATACCAAAGGAAACAATTTCTGTTTCAGCTACACCAGACTAACACGGCTACATTTCTATCACTATTGTACTGGGTGTGGGTCGCTGTCCCATGCAGTGGCACAGAGACCACTGACAGAGAGAGAAAGTGAGTTTGCTCTACAGCCTTAGATGAAAGCCAGCTGGCCTTTAACCCAGAGTTTCAATTAGCCGACGGTCAGCATGTTGGGGTGGGTTGTGTCTGCTTTCCAGCCAGGGAAAGGGAGCTGGGAATGGTCTGGTGGTGGTACTCGCAGCTTGTCTAATTTCAGTGGTTCTGCAAGTGCCTTCTGTTGAACCCTTCTTTAATAACAGCCACCCCTCTGCCCCTGCGCCCTATCCCAGCACTAACTGTTGTCGTCTTTCTTTGGAGGCCCATGCCGCTGTGAGCAAAAGTCGAATGAAGCTTCGCAGCTTCAGCTATGCTAATGGCGTCGCTGAAGTCGAAATAGCGTAACGCGGCTTTTGGCGCTGTCTCCGCAGCAGGAAGTGGAAGGAAGAGCGCTCTTCCTCCAACTTCCCTTACTCCTCATGGAAGGAGGCTACAGGAGTCAGAGAAAGAGGCCCATTACTTTGAAAGTATTTTGAAATAATGGGCTTGCTGTATAGACAGGCACTTGCGTATTTGAGATAACGCTGCAGTGGAGACGTGCACCGAGTGTCACGGAAGCGCTAGGCTGGGTCGGAAGTGTCTCTGTCCACGGCCATCAGTGGGTCCTGCACTAAAAATGGCTGTAACTCTTTGCAATATTTCCCAAATTGTTTTATTCTGGCAAAACGAAACACACCTCTGTGGTGCCATGGGAGCAATGGATCCGGCCCCACAGGTTCCTATGCCTCTACGGAAAGAAAACTCTCTTTTGACACCCAGCAGCGCTCTGGGCTGGGGCTGCTGAGAGAATTTTCAGTTGCTTGAAAAAAATCCACAGGATGTAAATGCTAGCCTTCTGTTAGCCCGAACCCACCCTCCGCCTACAGTAAGCAATGATGCCAGGCGACAGGAAGAGGAGGAAATACACAGCTCATTACTTCTGTTTGGAGTTTTGTGCCTGCTTGTTTACAAATGTACAAGCTAAGGCAGCTTTGAGGCAGACAATATGGAAACAGTGACACTCAATTAGGTGCTAGCAAAATAACTCCGAAACATGAGAGAAACAGGCAAGATGCACAAAGCTGTACATATAAGGAAATCAAACTTGTAGGAACATTATGCTTCCTGGAATTGATTAGATACTTTTTATATTTTTAATTCACCATCTTATAAATGTGCAGTGACTCCAGGTTTTAAAATCTTATCTTCAGAAGAAAGATTGGCTCCATTCTATGATATCTTCTATTGTCTTTTTCATACTTTGCCTGCAAGCGTGTGATAAGCTCCTGAGAAGGGGAATCTGAGATTCATAACCGAGAGAACAGCTGAATACAAACCCAGTAAAGGAAACTGATTAGCAAAGGACAAACACTCACAAAAACCCACCACTGTCACCAACCAAACCTCTCCCACCATGCTTTATCAATAAAGTTGCCACTCTGATTTCTCTGGAAAATTTTGTTTGATTTCACAATAGCATTAGTATCATTTTAAAAATTCCTCATGAAATTGGGCCTTGAAGTGTTGAACAGTGGGCCGGTCTGTAAGCTGGATGTCATTGAGGGAGACCAATATGGAGCTAACTAAGTCTCAGAGGGGTAACCGTGTTAGTCTGTAGCAAACAGCCGCCCAGCCTGAAGCAAATACTCATCAGCAGCCACACAATGCACCTCAGATACACCCACCTAGGAACCCTGGTGCCAACCTTGTCCTCACATCTACATAAGCGACACCAGCGCACACCTCATAAGCTTCAACACCAGAGGCTCATCCACCTGCTCTTCCACCAATGTGATCTATGCCATCCAGTGCCAGCAATGCCCCTCTGCCATGTACACTGGCCAAACCGGACAATCTCTGCACCAAAAGATCAATGGACACAAATCAGAGCTCAGGAATGGTAACACACATAAACACGTAGGGGAACATTTTAACCACCCTGAACATTCAATAATGCATTTTAAAGTAGCTGTTCTTCTACAAAGGAATTTTATCACCCAATTACAGAGGGGAGACAGCTGAACTAGAGTTCATTTACAAGTTCAATACTATCAACTTAGACTTGAATAAAGATCTTAACAAGTTAACTCACTACAGAGGCAATTTCCCCTGCCTTTGATATTCATATTTCCGCATCAAGAGCTATGAATGGGACACATCCACCCTGACTTAATTAGCTTCATTAACACTGGTCCCGCAATAGACAGGTAACTGCTTTTGCTGTTATATATACCCTGTATTCTGTAATTTCCACTCCAACTCATCTGAAGAAGTGGATTTTGCCCATGAAAGCTCATGCTATAATATATATTTGTTAGTCTGTAAGGGTATGTCTACACTACCACCCTAGTTCGAACTAGGGTGGTTAATGTAGTCATTCGAAGTTGCAAATGAAGCCCAGGATTTAAATATCCCGGGTTTCATTTGCATCTTGCCAGGCGCCGCCATTTTTAAATCCCCGTTAGTGCGGACTCCGTGCCCGCGGCTACATGCGGCACGGAGTAGGTAGTTCGAATTAGGCTTTCTAATTTGAACTACCGTTACACCTCGTTCCACAGGACTGCTCATTATAGCTAAACAAGGGCATTTGTAACCCAGTCTTCTCTTGCTGCACCACGCCTGTCTCAGTTTGACATCTGGTCAGTTTCAGAAAGTGAACTCAAAGAGGTTTCAGATTTCTTATCCTTACCCTGTTGCAACCCCGTGTTCCTGTTTTAAAACTGCTCTTCCACCTGGTTGCCGTGTGAAAGACCCACACGAACAATGAAGGGAAACTGCACGGGGAGCAGCAGCAACACCGACTGAACACAAAGCACGGCCACATGCGCAGTAGACAAACCAGCAACGACGTCTTAAGCCTCCGTCAGCTCTAGTAATCCCGGCTGTTACTCAGAACATCTCCCATCAAAGGGTTGTTTTTCAAATTGACCGTAACCTCCTCTAAACAGAGCTGCGAGAAGAGGTGCTAGTGGCTAATCCTTCCATTGCTGTTCACGCGGAGGGGATTAGCTGTCAATGGTGTTCAATGGCGTCTTTAGTGCAGGGTATTTTTTTCTGATTTGTGGCAGACTAGAAATGCTCAGCAAGGTGATCTGAAGTCACGTTCATCTCTGTCCGAGACGGGCTCTGTTGGGCTGCGGGTTTGCACTGGGAGAACGTGTGACCGGCTGTCAGCCCCGGAGCCGTGTTCTCAGCAGAGCTGGCGGAAGCAGACTCCAGATCAGAGTGGCAGAGACGCTGGCCTTGTGAGCGCTTCAGGGCACACGCCTGGGTGGATAATGTTCATGTGTTCACAGCCGGTGTTAATATTTTCAGATGCCTAAGCAGCTCAGGTATTTCTGCTACCAGGGCCTTTGCAGGAGTTGGACACATGAAAACATACATGTGTAGCACTGTGAGAGTGTCCTTACATTCAGAAGCTGTATCTCAGGCCACGTCACTACTTCTGCGGAAGGTTGATTAAGACACACAACTCCAGCTATGTAGCTGGTGTCCATGTACCTTAATTTGAGCTGCCATCTCCATGACAGGAAGTTTGATGGGAGCCTGCTCTTCATCGCCAGCTCTGTGCTTCCCTTGCAGGTCACCTGTGTGAGCAGAGGCTGAAGAAGTCAAACTCCTTGCCCCCCTCCCACTCTCGCATTGTCTCCTCGCATGACGGGACCAGCGGCTTCCATGGAGGCAGCTTGTTCTCCTTCCACACCCCTGGGGGTAAGTCCTGCCGGCTCCTCTCTTGCTATTGCTGGACAATAGTTTTTCTCCTATTAAAAATAACCAAGTGTTTGCTCAAAGACACAAATACCATGTGTGCTGGATGCAGCCTTTTCCCTCTCTCCCATGCCAGAAACATATGGTCTGGGGATGCAGCCTTTTCCCTCTCTCCCATGCCCGAAACATATGGTCTGTTAGTGCGGAGCAGTGCCTCTGCTGGCGGCTGACTGGGGATTTTCAGCTTCCAGAATGGAGAGAGGTAACTAGTGGTGTCTCACAGGGGTCTGTCCTGGGACCAGTCCCATTCAACCTAATTCATAAATGATCTGGAGAAGGGCTTAAACAGTGAGGTGGCAACATTTGCAGATGAGACCCAACGCCTCAAGACAGTTAAAACCAAAGCGGACTGTGAAGAGCTTCAAAAGGATCTCACAAAACTAAGTGATTGGGCAACAAAATGACAGGTGAATTGTAATGTTGATAAATGCAAAGTAATGCCCATTGGAAAACATAATCCCAACTGTATGTACAAAATGATGGGGACTCAATTAGCTATTACCACAAGAGAGAGAGATCTTGGAGTCATTGTGGATAGTTTTCTGAAAACATCTACTCAATGCGCAGCAGCAGCCAAAAAAGCAAATAGAATGTTAGGAATTATTAAAAAGGGGCCAGAGAAGAAGAAAGAGAATATCTTAGTGTCTCTATATAAATCCATGTTAGACTCACATCTTGAATGCTGTGTAGTTGCCTCATCTCAAAAAAGACATCTTGGCAAAAGTTCATAAAAGGGCTACAAAAATGATTTGGGGTTGGGAACGGCTGCCATATGAGGAGAGATGAATAAAAATGGGAATCTTTATCTTAGAAAAGAAGAGACTAAGGGGGGATATGACAGAGATCTATAAAGTATTGATTGGTGTGGAGAAAATGTATAAGGAAAATTATTTACTTGCTCTCATAACACAAAAACCAATGAAATGAATAGGCAGCAGGTTTAAAACAAACAAAAGGCAGTATTTCTTCATATGCTGCACAGTCAGCCTGTGGAACTCCTTGCCAGAGGATGTTGTGAAGACCAGGACTTTAACAGGGTTGAAAAAAGAGCTTGATGGATTCATGGAGGTTAGGCCCATCAATGCTGTTAGCCAGGACGGGCAGGAATGGTGTCGCTGGCCTCTGTTTGTCAGGGGCTGGGAATGGATGACAGGGGAGGTCCCTGCTCTGGTCACTCCCTCTTTGGCGCCAGAGGCCACTGTGGGCAGACAGGCCACTGGGCTGGACAGACTGTTGGTCTGACCCAGTCTGGCTGCTCTTATGTTCTGATGTCTGCTGGAGCTGAAACTGTTGTCAGAAAAAACACTTGTCTGAGCCTCTGTCAGCTGAGGGCTGATTCACAGGCTGTCTTCTCTCACCTCCTAATCAGGCAAAGTGTTTGCTGAGGTCGGCTCTGTGAAAATCAAGCTGGACTCTGCAGCTCGGAGCCTGCCTCGCTGGGGTCCTGAAGGTGGAATTGACCTTCCTGTGATTGCTGGGGTGGGGAGATGGTTGTTGACTTTCAGCCGAGAGGTGATTCAAACTCCTCTGCAGCAGAGAGCAGCAATAGCCCATGTGTTCAGAGATGGGAGAGCTCGAGTTGAAAATGATATTCTTTTAAGTCATCATGAGGCCTGCTAGCCTTTGCATAGGCCTGGACAGAGATTCGCAGGCTCCAATGTAACTCCTTCCTGGGAAGGGGTGTGTGTGGCATTCATCCTTTATGTATGCCCAGGTTCAGATGAGCTAACGTACAGTTCACCCAGCCTGGCCTTTAACAGTGGCAAGTGCCTGGCACACAAAGTCCTTCAAACACTTCTGCCCTGCTTATCATTTGCATTTGACAAACCCCTGGAGGCCGCTCTGGCAGCATCATTAATCTGAGTCTGAGTGTAAATGAGACTCAGGCTCTAGAGAGAGAGATGAATCTCTCCACATGCTGCTCTTCTCTTCACTAAGTGCATGTTTGTGCCGAGAGGCAGGTGCACAAGCACCCAGACGCACCCAGAGATATACGTCCCTCACCCTGGGCTATCCGCGGTGCACGTGTGCAGCTGGAAGCGGGTGTATTTCTTGAGTCAGAGTAGTTGAAATATTTTACCAAATTAAGCACCTGTTCCTGAAGGAGCTCCAGATGGTGTGTGAAATGAGAGAGTCGCCCATCAACAGAATTCCCAGCAGAGATGGTGGTGAAGAAATACTATTATGCATCTATGTGTGCTTTTAATGGACTTCCTGATGAGTGTTCTCAGGACAGGTTGTCCCATTGTGGCCCATATCTAAGTTAATGCCGGAGCTTTTGGTTCAACAGCTATATTCCCAAGATCTGGGCAGTCTTCAGGGCACCACACTTTGGGAAAGATGTGGGGAAATTGGAGAAAGTTTATTAGAGAGCAACAAAAATAACGAAAGGTCTAGAAAGCCTGACTGACGAGGAAAGATTTAAAAAGCTGAGTTTATTTTGTCTGGAAAGGAGAAGGAGAAGGGGAGACATGATAACAGCTTCAAGTATGTTAAACATACTTATAAAGAGGAAAGCGATACATTTCTTAACTTCTGAGGACAGGACAAGAAATAATGGACTGTCAACCCATGGAACTCCTTGCCAGAGGATGTTGTGAAGACCAGGACTGTAATAGGGTTCAAAAAAGAAGCAGATAAATTAATGGAGGTTAGGTCCATCTATGGCTATTAGCCAGGATGGGTAGGAATGGTGTCGCTAGCTTCTGTTTGTTACAGGCTGGGAATGGGTCACAAGGGATGGATCACTTGATGATTCCCTGTTCTGTTCATTCCCTCTGGAGCACTTGGCATTGGCCATGTCAGAAGCCAGGACACTGGGCTAGATGGACCTTTGGTCTGACCCAGTACGGCCGTTCCTATGTTCTTATGGGCTTAAATTGCAGCAATGGAGACTTAGGGTACGTCTAGACTACGTGCCTCTGGCGACAGAGGCATGTAGATTAGGGTACCGGACATAGTAAAATGAAGCGGTGATTTAAATAATCGCCGCTTCATTTAAATTTACATGGCTGCCGCGCTGAGCCGACAAACAGCTGATCAGCTGTTTGTCGGCTCAGCGCGGCAGCCATGTAAATTTAAATGAAGCGGCGATTATTTAAATCACCGCTTCATTTTACTATGTCCGGTACCTTAATCTACATGCCTCTGTCGCCAGAGGCATGTAGTCTAGACGTACCCTTAGGGAAAATATGTTCAACCATAAGGGTAGTTAAGCACCGCGACAAATTACCAGGAAGTTATGGCATCTCCGTGAGTTTTAGACACCGCGACAAATTACCAGGAAGTTATGGCATCTCAGTGAGTGGAGGTTTTTCAAGACAGGTGAGACAAACACCTAGCAGGGATGATCTAGAATGGGTGACCCTCAGTCCTGCATCAGTGTAGGGGACTGGACGAGATGACCGATCAAAGCCCTTTCCAGTCCTACACGTCTATGATTCTGTGGTAAGCCATGTGAAGTATTGAAATCATTAGACATTTTACTCAATGTGTGACAAACCCAATGCAGAAAGAAAAAGAATCCGAGATTTTAAGGCAGGACGGGACCATGATGATCTCCTAGTCTGACCTCCGGCATAGCACAGAAATCCTTGTATCAAGCCCATATCGTTTGTGGTCGAGCTAGAAGACATGTTGGGGGTGTGACTCAGAGACAGTTGAACAGCTCAGAGAGTGCGCCAGGGTGTCCGGGTGCATGCACGTGCGTGTGTCCATTCACTAGTGAACCTCAGAAGGTCCAGGTCAGAAAAAACTCAAAGGGTTAGATTTGGATCCGAATTCCAGGACCCAAAACTCCCTCCGAAGCACACGCTTCTCCCAAGATTTGCACACCTGGTGCGTGAGAAAGACAGTCGGAAACCTCTCTCCCAGCCACCTTCTCCGAATGCCGGAGTCAGGAAGCACAGAGAGCTGGGAAATGTGAACTGACCTGAGCACACTGGGCTCTGGAGGCAGGCTGACATGGACAAAGGCAAGGAGTGGCTTAGATAACAGAACATTCGGCTCAGACGCTCCCCTCCCGAGACAGGTCCTTCCAGCCCGGCATCCTCCTTGCCCATTAACTTTTTAACACGGCCCATGCAGCCGAACGTTGTGGACACGCGCTGAAATACAACCTTTGCTAAAGCGCTTGGGAGTGGATTGGATTTCACGGCTTAGCTCTTTGGCTGGCACTTCCGTCGGGAGCTGCGCCAGTGGCAACGTTGTCGAGAAGTGAGAGGCAAAGGAGTGGGAAGGGGGAGCAAAAGAACATTTGTAAGGGGGAGGTGTGTCTGGCGCCCAGCAGGGACCAGCCATGCTTTGCATGATGGGAGGGGAACAAAGTTCCCTTTGGCAACGTTTGGTGGCTGGAGATCGTTTGATTTATACACTCACCAGAACAGCCCAATGAACCCAGGGCCCCACAGATCCCAAAGGCTTGGTAGCTATTCCATGGTTAAGCCAGGCCTTGTAGCTGGGTTGCTGTGGGAGGGATGGGGGGAAAGAGGCAGCTGCCCTGGGACCCACAGATTTAAAGGGGCCCAGAGCTCCCAGCTACTACTACTGCAGCAGCCGGGGCCCCGGGCCCTTTAAATTGCTGCCAGAGGCCTTGGAGTCAGTCCCCCACCTTGCCCAGGGACCCAGCGAGTCTGTCAGCAGCTCTGCCATGTTAGGGTGTCACCATTTTGTGTTGGCCACGTCTGGGCTCATTGCCAGGGACCCCATCCACGGGCCCGAGGGAATTAACAGGGCAAGGTGTCCTGTGGCTTCATGACGGTCACATCTCAGCAGAGCAGCGCCTGGTCTCCTGCCTGTGGAAAGCTTCACAAACTGCGCAACACAACACCCTGCCCTGGGGGCGTGGCTGCCAATTTCAGTGCCACGCCTGCGGAATTGTTCTGCGGGGACAATTCGGCCTTCACTGGCCCTATAGGCCGGACAGAGGCTTGGTCGGAATGTCCCTCGGCGCAGCTGTCCCCAAGCTCCCCTTCCTCTTGGTTACCACCTCCCTGAGCTTGCCAGCGTGGAAGGCTGAAGCCGACCTCTCCGCCTGTTTGCCCACGTCACCCGTCCATCTCCCTGTCTGAGCCGGCTGGGGGCTGCTCCCTGGGGGGGGTCGCACCCCGACTCTCTCTTAGCCAGACTCTAACGCTTGTTTCCTTTTCCCCCAGCTAAGAACGTGTGCCAAGCCCAGAAGCTGGGGGAAGGGGACGGCGAGCTGGCGGCCATGTTGGCCCGACGCCCGTCCGAGGG